GATGGAGGCCATGCACGTGGATGGAGGGGTGAGAAAGCTCGGGAACCACTATAGAATTCCACCTATGAAGTTGTGTTTCAAGAGTCTTCTTAATCACTCATTTACTTCAGCCAGCTCGGGCTCCTCTCTGTGGCTTGAACAAGCCAATGTTGCTGTAACCTCAGGGCCTTTGCATTTGCTATGCTTTCTGTTTGGATAAAATTTTTGCTCAAAATCACTTCCCCAGTGAGGTCCTTCTGGCCATCCTGTATAGGAAATTCCCCTCCCTCTGACTGTCACAGGAATTCTCCCAGTTCAGTGATTTCCTGACACTTCTGCCAGCAAGATGTCACACCTTGCTCAGTGGCTTACGTGTGTTCTTCACTATGCACCTTGGTAGGTGCTCAGGAGATCAGACTTGTCTCCTTCATGGTATGCCCAGCGCCCGGATCAGGGCCAGCGCCTCTTCATCACCTTCGACTTGCTGCAGAGCACATGCACAAATGGGTAAACAGCTGCAGAATTGAGGGGCGAGGGAGAAGGACACAGCACTTAACTGGAGCTCAAGGCCTGGAATGAGTGGCCTGGAATGAAGTTGCAGCTTCCGGCGACCATGTGACATGTTCCCCTACGACCAGGAATCTTAGATCTTGAGCTCAGGCCAGAGGGGGCAGTTTAATACTTAGGGTGGGGTCACCCAGAACCAGCCACACCCCTGCCCTCTCCCGGAGCCCCCAAAGATTCCAACTAATTCTGCCATCCTCTGAGCTTGGCCAGAGGAGCCATGGAGGAAAAGGCTGTCTTAGACCTGTGTGCTGTTGACCAGGAGGGACAGTGGAAGTGTTGTTGGACAGTCAGTCACACCGAGTTAGGCTCCAGACACCTTTCCGAGACTGCGGAGCGAGTGCAGGCGGGCACAGCCCCTTCTTTGCCATCAGTCCGGAAATGCGCACCTTCCAAATGCAAGCTGGACAGAAGACGAGGATCCAGATGCCCAGATCCTTCCAAGCCCTTGATGCCAAGTCCTTCCTCTGGCGCAGTGTTACTTTAAAAAATCCCCAATGGTTTGTTGTGAGTGGAGAAGAATTTCCCTGTGACACATATTGGGTACACGTGTGTAGTAAACTTCAGGCCTTTAGCACCCCTCAATAATTATGTTTCTTGCTGTATCAGCTGTTTTAACACATTTTCTTCTCAATTATTTGGATTTTAATTGCATTTAAACCCAGACACTTAACATATGGTATTAGGTTCCAAATTCTGAATAAAATCTGTTCATACTTTTATTGTGAGATGCAATTTTTCTTCATTTCTTATGAAATTCCTCAATAATCTTATTGAATTTTTATCATTGGAAGAATACATTGAGATTTATTCAGCATTGTGAATGAAGGATCCTTGGTTGAGCATCTCTAACGCGAACAAATGAGGCATTTTATAGGCCCAAAAGGCCATGTCACCATCAGAGAGCCGCCGTGATATCAGTGTCTGCTAGATGAGGGGTGCTTTACCCTAACGCAGGAGCAGCCTCCACTCAGCCGTCCTCATTCACAGATTACAGTTGTTCCTGGGTATCTGTACCTCAGAGGATTCGTTCCCAGATACCACTGGGCACCAAGCCTGCCAAGCTCCAGCGCCTCCTGTGGAATGGCCTATTGTTGGCCTGTAACCTACGCATTGCCTGTCCTGTCCTTTCAGGCATTTTTAGATTATTTACAAGATCTGCCACCATGTAAAGGCTATGACAATAGTTGTTATTCAGTGTTGTATAGGGAATAACGGCAAGGAGAAAACTGTTCATGTTCAGCATGGACACAGTTTCTGTTTTACTGTCTTCAATCCACAGTTGTCTGAATATGCATGCGTGGAACCTGAGGCGTGGGAGTGGGCTGTTCTCCTGCTCCACGGTAGACCTGTGGTCTGTGACCAACGTTGAGCTGATTGAGTCCAGAGCTGAGGGAATTAAAGAAAGTGGTACCTGTTTAAGAGTTTTAATGGTCAACCAGGAATTTCCTCTCTGGCTCCCTCCTGGTAAACAGATTTCACTGATGTGAAGTGACAGGAATTGCGGAGTTTGATCTGGCTTATGAGGTTTTGCCAAGAGTTTCTATATCCCCTGGGCTTGGGACCAAAATACATAATTAACTTTTGCCCAGGCCTATGGGAGTACACACGACTTGTCATAAAACAAGCTACTGGCATTCCTAGCTTTGAAGGTGTTGGTTTCACTGGGAAGACTGAGGGAGAAGCTGCTAGTAAAACCATGTTGATCTTCTTTCAGGGGGGAAACCGAGCCTCAGGGTGAAAAGGAGAAGGTTCAGAAAGAATAGCTGATGTGTCTGAGATAATTGTGTTTACACGGGTAAGAGGTGTCAAAGTGACATTACTCATGAGACTGATTGGAACAGAACGCTGCAAATCACTCTCAAGATTTTTGTTGGACTTCCCCATATTTTTGGAGGTTGGAGTCAGGATTACTGGCTGTGGTAATTAATCCTTCCCAGCCCGCATTCTTTGCTACTGAGCATAGGAGTGATTCAGGGGCCCAACCAGCTAAATCAAGATAATGCTTGACCTCTGGAAGCAGAAGGCTTTTCTTCACTCAGCCAGCGAAAGTAAATCCAGGACAATTGGTAAAATCAGCAGAGCTCATATTTGAAGAGCTGCAGAGGGAGCTGAGGATGTCTGTGTGGGGGCATTTTGAGGGTATTTGGAGCATGTAATGGAAGAAGTTATAAAATGTCGGGCAATGCTGGTTCAGCATTGTGTATAGCACCGACATTAGGTCCTTTAAGAGCTGTAATATTTTCAAGAAACATTCATTGCCATGTAACTTTATCAAAATTTGTCTTTCTTGGTTGGTGTTTGCTTATGTATTTACCTAGTCTTAGTTTCACATGAAACTTATACTAATATCACAGCTATATATAAAGCCACACCTTTGGTTCGGTTTGGCTGGAGCTAAGATGTGAGATTTTTTGCCAAATCCCTTATCGCTATTTTTGTGTCACTCTAAAATTTGTTCTAACACTGTTAGACAACAACTCGAATTCTACTTGGATTACGTAGGTAAAGTGACCTCTTTACCTTTGTCAAGAAGTAGGAATAAGATAAATCTTCTTCCATGAAACCAACTAAATTTTGCAAGAAAATAAAAGCAGAACAAACCCCTTTTAAAGAGTTAAAATCAAAGGGGTCATGTTCTTTAGTACCCTGGCATGAGATCCTGATAGGTACTCTAAGAAAAATATGTGAGCAAACAAAATAAAATGATGATTATCTGTTGTTGCAAAACAAATAACTTTGTTAGTCATTGAAACAGCATAAACTTGAGATTTTTGAGACTAGAGAGAAGAAATATTTTGATCAAGTTTGCCATTATATATATTTCCAAGTCCACAAATACTAAAGCCTTCCTGTTTCTTTGAGTTAAAGTTAGTCGAGGTGGGATGAGCCAAGAAAGGGTAGAAATCTTTCTGTTTTTGAAAACAAACAACACATTACATTCCTTCCTGATCTCCGTTCCTCACATTGGTCCCAGGCACAGCCAGGGAGTCCTTGATAACTCCACTTATGCCCACAACACAGAGATCGCGAGATGGGAGAGACGAGGAATGATTAATCGACAGAGTTTAAAGATGTACTTGTAGCTCCTGTGTCCCCTCAGTCCCCGTCTGTGATATTTGCATCTGTCTCCTCCTCATGTAATCATGCCTTTGCTTTACTCTGCTCAGGATAAATTTAATTTGTGCTCACACAGCATCTTATAACCCACACACACCACACATATGGTCTGAAGTTCTGGTCTTTACATACAAAGCAGAAGAACAATCCACACGTCTTTCCCCCACAGCAGCCAGGTCTCTCTGCCCGGTGCCGGGAGTCCCTGTCCGTGGAGCTGCTCCTGGGCATCCGTAGACAGTTTGGAGCTCAGGGTCAGTGTGATCTGTGGCGGAAACACCGATGTTGTTCAAATCTGCTCCAAGGCCACCTCAGAGCTGCACCGTGAGACGAGGTCAGCGCAGCTCATGGCTCTAAACGCAGTTTTCCTTTAGGGAAATGTTTTATCTTTGCTCCTTCTGATGTGAAAAGTTCTAGATACAGAGGAAGGAAAAAATGTGAGAACAGTTCACTTCCTCCGAGCCATGCATGACATGACGCGAAGCTGGGAGGAAGGATTTGCAAGCTGTCCAAGGTCTGAACTCTTTGCCGTCTGCCTTTGCTGTGCCAGTGTTCTCGGCTGAGAATCTTATCAGCAGACGCAGCAGAGAGGCTGCCTCCCAGGCTGCACAAACTCATCAGGTGGTGTCGAGCTGGGCAGCCACACCGGTACGGGTCCATTTGTCTGCCAGCCTCAGCCAGCCGGGAGGCTGTTTCACTAAGTCCTCAGGGCTGCATTTGGTGGGGACAACTCACTTGCTACTGAAAGGACCAAGGCTCTTTTGTCCTTTGTTTGCTTCAGTTGTCACTGTTGTTTGGAGCTTCTGGCTCAGTCCAAATAGCAATCCAGGATCCAAGGATCCACTTGATCTTTTGCTTTGACACTTTTTCTTTCTTTACTGATGTTTTTTTGAATCAGTCTAGCAATCTGATTTGAATGTGGAGGTATTTTAATTCCCTGGTGCCAGGAAACAATGACATTTTTCTGGACTTTGTGTGTTTCTTGTAAAAATACCACAGTAGTATTTTTAACTTATTATGAAAAAGTTAAGACTGCATGTTTCTCTATCCCAGGTTAAATTTGTTTGTGAATCATTTTTGCCCAACTTAATTATAATACGAATCCCTTAATAATTTGCTGCAACATGTCTCCATGTATCTTTCTGTAAGAAGAGAACAGAGTGCCCCGTCCTGGAGAAGTTTGAAGCTCATCTTTCCTGAGGAAATATACAGTTACAGCTTTGTTATTTTTTCATTTGGAAATAATTTTTATTTAAGAAAGAATTGCAAAGATATTATAAAGGGCTCCCATACACACTTCACATGACAGTCTCTGCTATTAACATCTTATGCAACATGATATCAAAACAAGTAAATTAACTGTGACACAGTTCTCAGGTGGCAGACATACCGACCTCACCCAGTCCTATGGTTGGAGTGTACCTATTCCTCTAAAAGCGTTCGTTTGAAACCAACTCCCTAACGATGGTATTAGGAGGTGCAGCCTGCAGGACGTGATGAAGCCATGAGAGTGGGCTCTTCATGCAGCGGATCAGAGCCCTGTGGAAGAGACCGAGGGGCATTATGGCCTCCTTGTCCTCCCTCCACGTAAGGAAGCTCCGGCTGTGAGGAGCAGTGTCCGCAACATGCACAGGACGTGCTGGTGCCCTCACTCTGGCTGTGTCGGCCTCCGGAACGCTGAGGGTCGGGCTGCGCGTTCTCAGCATGGCGAGGTCGGTGGCACTTTGTCACAGCACCCCTGACTGGCCAGGGCACTGCTCCCCACGATACGCCTTTTGTGTCTCACAATCCAGTCGGGTTCCCACATTGCATTTACATACCACATGTCCTTTGTCTCCTTCAATCTGTGGGGTTTCTTGGTCCTTTCTCGTCTTCTATCGGCCACATGTTTGGCAAGAAGTGGTCGGTGTTGTGTAGCCTGTCCGTCTGTGCTCACCCTCCAGCGTCTGTACTGAATCAGCCTCTCAAGAGAGCTCTCTGTAGATGATGGAAAAGGACTTAGAATCACACGGGTTTAGAATAAAACTAAAGGGGGTTACTCATTTTAAAAGGTGGGAAATGAGATCCAGAGAATAAGAACCAGGACTTACCCAGAAAGAGAGGCCCAGACTTCTGACTTCCCAGGCGGTGTTGGGATCCTGCCACTCTCCGGTGTCCTAAGCCAGAGATTCACGCCCAAACTGCAGAGCAAAACCCACTGATTCACCACAGAGTCCCTGTATTGCAATTAAACCTGAATATTGAGGTGTTAGTTTAGAAAAAACAACTCCTACATCTTTTGTCTTCAAAGAAAACAAATAACACTATCATGTGTGCCATAGGTTTGCCACCACCGTGAGCAGACTTAGCTCCTGGGAAAGTCTGATGCTCGGAGCTCCTGTGATATCCAGAGCCTGGCCACGCCTGCTTCCCTGGCCCACAGCACAGTGAGCACAGCAAGTGCTGGAGGAATTCAATTCAATTATGTTTTAGAAAATCAAAATGCTGGAAATGGCCACAGATGCTTCTCAAACTGCAAGGAGACTAAGAACTAAGACATCTGAGCGAAGTCAGAAGCAGTGAGTTTGCTGGGAGCAGCTTAAGGTGCTGAAGGGAGCCAGGGTCTGTGGGCAGTGGCCCTAGAGAAAGCTCCTCTAGCTGTGGGCCCTGCCACTCAGCTGGGATGACAGAAACCTTTCCCAGCTACAGTCCCACAGGAAGAATGGCTCTGTCCCATGACCTCAGGGCGCATCCAGCCGTCTTAATCTCTGGAATCTGGAGACACAGTGTGTGGCTCAGGGGTCCTCACCCCTGATTTCACAGAACATTTTCTCGGGCTCAGGTGGGACCCGGCAGGGCTCTGTGACCCTCACGCCGCAGGGATTCCTGTGCAGAGTGAATAATTAGGTCAGATGCTGCAACTGTGAGCCATGCAGTTGCCCCGGGCAGCCTGCAACTCTGCACCATGGAGTGTTCCAGAAGCCAAGCTGTGACTCAACGTTCAGGAGAGGGGACCGGCACTTGCTTCCTGTGGTATGTGCCTCTTCCTGGACATGGGAGGCTTTCTCGTGGCATCCCGTGTTGGCCTCTCCCCAGCATGCGTCAGATGCAGGGCAGAGTAACTCTGCACTTTGGAGAAAACAGAATGATCGAGGGGCTGGCCTGGCAGTGAAGAATCCTGGGTTCCCACGAGTGGTTAGAGAATTTGGGAAAAGCGAGCAAACATCCCCGCTTCCCAGTTTCCCCCAGCCGTGCTCTCAGTGAGCTCAACTAGACTGATGGGTTTTAAACTGGATACTAGGAGGGAACTTTAGGGCTGCCCTGAGAAGGATAGGGTGTTGAAGAGGGTCGGTCAAATATTTTGCTACAAAACATAAAGGAGTTGGAACATTGATCCGAATGATACATTGTGCAATATTTCAAGGTGAATATCGAACACACGTGCTTTATATACCGTCTCAAGCACTTGCTGTCTATGTTCTTGGCAAACTTTGATCATCTCATCCGAGTCTTAGTTTCCTTATCTTAGAAGCAGAAATGATAACTGACTCCAAAGTTACTGGTGAGGATCACACATTTCTGGAAGGTTCCATCATCTGTGAAGGTCCCTGTGTCCATGGCACTCTGGGATCCCCAGGGCTGGACCTGAGCAGGTCCTTCCGGAGCGGGTCCCTATGGTCACCGGTTCAGCAGTGTGTACGTCGGACACCGGCAGGGCAGCTGTGGCCCACGCTGGGAGCTCCTGCGGGCCAGGGAAAGGAGTGCCCTCCAGGCCATCAAAGCTGGAGAGCGAGGAGAGAAGGGAGCTTTCTGTACCCTTTCCCCGGGTGGGGGCAGGAGTGCTGCTGTTCCTAGCCTCTCCTCCTCTCCTTACCCAGCTGCCCAGGGCTATTCCGGGTCTATGTACTTTGGGATCTGTAATGAGCTGCCTCTCACCTTAACTTACCATTTTCAGGCAGCTTCACCAGCCGCCTGGACAATGCGGCAACCTAGCAAGTTAAGAGCTTCAGTGGATGAGGCTGGAAAGAGGCTAAGCAGGAGTGGGGATGTCTGCTCTCTCCCTCATAAAGGAAGAAGGCTCCTGGGCTGAAAATCACACGGACACCTTCCCAAAGTTCAAGCGCCAGAATTTCCGAGCTCCTCCTCCACACCTTGTCTGGAAAATCCGTAAGACTGAATACTGGCTTTGCTAGGAAAGAGCAGAGCTCCTTGGTTGGGCAGTCGGCTGAACAATGGGCTTTCTTCATTGCCAGAGGCCTCATTCTGAGCTCAAATTTATGAACATGGGAATAAACTCTAAGAAAGTAAAGCTGTCAGTTAACACCAGATTCTGAGGCCAACTGTAACCCCTAAATGGACCTTCAGATTTCATGTGACCAATCATCCTTTCTTTTGCTGCAGCACACGATATTCTAGAATTTCAAAGCGTGTCTTCCTGAACATGATTTTCAGGAAGCCTAGGCATTTTCCTTTCATAATTCTGAGACTATGAAGTCATTCCCCGGTGGAGTTATTACTAGACCTGCAGTATCCCACCTCAAAAGTACCTATCCTCTGTCACTATAATGCAGAATCTCTGAAAAGTAGTAAGTGCGAATCAGTGTCTAATGCAGATCACTCCACGTTTCTTCTTTTCTTGTGTCTGGGAGTCAGAAGAGAAAATGCTCTGGACGTTCAGTTTCGCTCACATCCTGGGTTTAAACCCAGGATGAAGGAAATGCTCCTCTGCCGGACGGACACCTCCCTGGTCATATTCCAGACACAATCAGGCTCCTCTGATGGTGGTGGCCGATCATCAAGTGAGCAGCTAATCTTATCTGCGGTTCACAAATGGCTCGGATGGCAGCTTGTGACTTTAATTACTGAGGGGCTGTACCCACCAGACGCTCTGCTCCACACAGTGGTCCTCTCAGCCTCCTGCTCCTGGAGATCAAAGCACTTTCCCGCTCCCTATCTGCAGGGAGGCTCATTAGAGGGAGGCTGTCAGGGTTACAATCAGGCAACAGTTTCCCTTCTGGGTTAGAACGCGTCCTGTCCCTTCTTATCAGCCTGTGGGGTCCAAAGTGGGCAGGATAAGGGAGGCACCGATGACATCTGATACCTTTAATAGGCGCATGCTGCCTGCAGGCCTCAGCTTGTTGCCAGGGGCCCTAGACTGACTACTGAAGGACCTGCCACCCTCCCAGACCTGCAGGGATTAGACTTGATTCCTTGGGGTCAGGAGGTGGAGAGGAGGGAGCACGTGGCGGCCCCTAACGGTTGCTTTCCTACGGGGACTGCAGAAATGTGGACGGTGTTAAAATAGGGGTTTTCAAGTCCCAAAATGACTTCTTTACCTTTCAGTAGCAGTATTAACTGGGACATCCTACTGCGAACTGAGGGAAAAATAATACTTCTTTCATGGGGTTTACTGGAAAGATTCCAAAGATGCTCCCCAAGGAAACCTGCTCACAGAGCCCGAGCCACTCTGGCCCTCTCCTCCCGACCTGGATTGGAAGCCCCGTTCTGAGCCGATCGCCCTTTACCATTCCCCTGGTCCCCAGAATTACCCGCTCCCTCTGCACTTGCCATACTCGTCCGTGCGGCTCTCTGGGCACTGAAGGGGGCTTTCTTGCCTGCGCACAGCGGATGTGACGTGAGCATGCGCTGTCCCAAGGAGGAAAGCGCTATCTGGAAATGGGTCATACAACGTGATGGGAAGGCTGTGCTGGCGGGCATCAGGCCTGTAGACAACCAAACCGAGTATCTCTGGGTGGGCCCAGGAGCTTACTTCCCCGTGAAGTTCCTACTTTTTTGTCTTTCTGTACTTGAAAATGCTTTATGAATTTTTATTGGCAGGTGTTTGCAGTACAAATGAGTGCTTTGCTCATGAGGAGCTGGTCCCCGAGGATCACATCTCAATGCCTCCGCTCACCTCCCTGCCCCATAATCCCCCTCCCTTTTGAGAGTCACAGTTCTAGTCCAGACTTCCCGTTCACAGTTTAAAAAGTAAGCTCTGTTTCTTGCACGCACCTGTGTGTGTGTAGGCAATAAGGTTTTTGGTTTTTTCAATTCATGTCTAAATTCTTCCAGCTTAAAGCCTGGTCTTTTGTTCTTAAATCTCAAGCCCGCTTTACAGCGAGCTCTGGCGGGAGAGGCACTGAGGACTTGGTGCCACAGTGGCTAGGTTTGGGCATCTGTTTGTCCCTCTTCTTCTCTAGATGATAATCGATGCTCCTGGAAATGTGAGGAGAGCTGCCTAGGGGCGTGAAACTCTCGGAGGGTCTGGGCAGGCCTGTGAGCATCAGGCAAGAGGCTCCTGCAGCTGCCTCGGTGGAACCTGGGCAAGGCTGCTACAGTGGCACCAGCTGCAGTAGTTCTGGAGGCAAGCGCTGCCGAGTGTGCACTCCGTAGTGTGCACCAAGAAGCGGTGTCTGTCGAAGAGCACTGGAGAGGGAGCAGCGGCAACAGGAAAGGGGAGGGGGAAGAGAGCGATGACTCCGGCCCTGGCCCTCAGGATGGAAAGGCAAGTCTCCTCTGCGTCCGGTGCCTCCGGCTGACTCTCCCTTGTTGTCAGTGCTCTGCGTCCAGGGAGTGGTGACCTCAGGCTTTGTTTCTTCGTGTTGTCCCTCTCTCAGGGCACTGGACCAGGAACGACTGCTGGGTGCGTTGGGTTAGGTGGGGGTGGCTCACTCAGCTCCTTTGTGTCTGACTGCGCTATTCCCCAAGAGCCCTCTGAGGGGAGCTGCAGTGGATGCTCCATCTTCTAGGGGTCCTTCCGGCGGACTAGGGGCCCTGCCCTACCTACTCAGAGACCGAGGACCGCCGAGTTAAGGGGGCTGAGCCCTTCCGCTGAAGATTTCCTGACAAACTGTGGGCCTGCAAGCGGGTTCTGATCGAGAGTTATGGTCATCACCAGGAGCTCGAGGGTTGTCAGACAAGAAGAAACCAATCTGAGTAGATGAGGCGTGGAAGGTCTGACTATGAGGGTTGTGAGAAGCATTAGTAAGGGTCACGTCCAGGACAGCACCAGGCCCCACTTCCGGATCGCACGGTCCGCCGGGTTTTCGTGCTGTCTTCACCACCCGCCTCTCGGGGGATGTGGACAGATGCAGAGCGCACGAGCAGTTGCTGACGGAGCTGGTGGTGTGGGGCCAGGTCCTGGGCTGGTGCTCCCCCGTGCGCTTCGTAGTATAACATTACTTAAGGAACTTAACCTCCAGGAAACTCATTTTATTCTCTGTAAAGTAGAAAACATATCTCCTTCATACCGTTACGATGAGAATTAAAAGCAGTGATTTTGAAATGACCTTGCGAGTGTCTGGGACATGCTAAGTGCTTGGCCGGTGTGGAGTCTGCCTTTCTTTCTTTACTCCACTCCCCATCACCTAATGCCGGCCGAACTGCAGAGACACTGCAGCCCAGTTGGAAAGAAAGGCAAAATATACTGTCTTTTTCTCCCCTGTGTCCTTTTGATTTACTTACCGTTCTCTCAACATTAATTGCACGGTGCATTTTTAAAGTATTGAAACCCATTTCAAACTTTTAAGAATTGTAGTTAAAATAATGACCTTTCCATTAACTACAATTTGGAAGGCATTAGTACTAATTGTAATTGTAATGGAATTTACATCTGACACGTTATAGGTTAACCGATGAAAGACACCCTCTGGACTCCTCGGGATCCCACGGCGAGCTTATCAGAATATTACTCTCCTTTGCTTACCCTCTAAGAGAATAAATAACTAATCAGTCACTGACTGCTAATATAATAGATTACGCTTTTGCTAAGATGGATGATAATTTAAACTTTTTTAGCATATATTTATTTAACTGACAGAAATTATGACTCAATTATATTTGTTTTAAATGGCAATGCATTTCAAAACCAGAAATTTTTGAGTAATTAAAATTTTAATTTACCATTGTAAGAAACAATAAATTCCATCACTTCCATCTCCAGCACTGAACATATATCTGAAGTGTTTATTGATCGCCCAGTCCTAGTTAACAGATGTTGAGAAAAGCCCTCAGGAAACTCTGGTAGCCCCTCTGGAGTACAGTAACTGCTCCCACCAGACTCTCATGGCTTATGTTTTCAACTGCACAATTTCTGAGCAATGAGATGAATTTTTGTTGAACTGGGCCAGAAGCAGCTGCTGGGATTCTGGATAAATCTGGATCAACTTGGTTGTGATTGTATTTTGCTCCACAGAGAGTAAGGGGTTTCATTCCTAGAGAAGAACTCTGGCCGGGTTCCAGTCACTCCATCAGCAGTGTGAGTCTCTGAGCCCCTGCTCAGTATGGGGGTGCTGCGGTGCAGGTCCTCGGGGTGTTCCTGCCATCAGAGAAGGTGGCCCGCCTGTTTCTGTGTGTTTGTGGAGGGGACTTTTGGACACTGTCACACTTCTGCCTTCTCTGCCCATCACCCCACTGGAGGAAGAGGAGTGAGCTCCTTCGTGAGGTGGGAAAACAAATTGAACTAAGTGTCAGTCTTTGCTTCTTCTATTTTTACTTATTTATTTATTGAACTTATTTATATTTCACTACTGGATATTGAACCCAAGGCCTTTTTCACTGAGCCACATCGCCAGACCTTATTTATTGAATATTATTTTGAGGCAAAGTCTCACTGAGTTGCTAAGTTGCCCAGGCTGGGCTTGAACCCTTGTCTTCCTGCTTAGCTGGCAGAGTCCTGGGACTGCAGACCTGTCTCCACTACTCCTGGCTGCTCATTTGCTTTTGCAGAAGCCACCCTCTGTGCAGCAAGAGAACTGTGCCCCTCTGGCCACCCTAGAAGTTGTGTCGCTCCACCAACCTGGGAATTAAGTTTGTCCAAAAGTGGGGTGAAATGTTCTGAGCCCACTTAGTTGACAAATCTAAAGTCGTAGACTGTGCTTGAACTCAGGGTAATTATTCAGCCTTATTCACTGACTCATCCTCTTGTTACCAGTGGAGGACGTCGGGCCCCTGATTCTCCCGGGCCGGAGCGAGCAGCGCCAAACCTAGCTGTGGACAGTTAAAGCACATCAGTGCTTGGTGTGCTGTCAGTGAAAAACTGAAAAGAAGCTTGAAGCTGCTTGTGTGATTCGCCATTTCCACATGGTTACTAACAGGCAAAACCAAGTTCCGTGGTTGCGGTGGTTGATACTCCTTGCCCTCTCTTCTTAGGAACGCTTCCACGTCTTCAAAGCTGGCACGGGTCCTCTCCACCTTCTGTTTTCGGTATGTTAGGGCTACCCTCCGATGTGACCTTAGACTTCTAAAGTTTTATGAGCTAGAGAACAAGACAGCCTACTCTGCTACCATGTTTTCCAAAGACCAGAGAGAAAGTGTTTATGCTCCAGTGGAGAAACCAGCCACATTTGTCATCTGGTGTGTGTTTTTGGTGTCTCCCAAATAACTGATGATTTAGAGAAGGAAGTAAGATGGCTCCCTGGAAGTTCTAGCTCTGAACAATTGCAACTCATCCACTCACACTGCAGGGAATCCTATCTCAGGCTAACAGTGGTCCCCATGACTGGGATTTTGCAGAGATTCATCCAGAGAAAGTGAGTTCTCCAAGCATTTTCCTAAGGAAGTGGTTTACTGGGGCTTTCCTCTGTCTATATTTTCATGTTAGCAATATGACTGGGGACACCTCTTCTTGACTGTCTAGACTTTTAGCTGAAAGGAGGGTGAGGAGGAAAAGATTATTCATCTCATGCCAGTCATTTATCCATCTACTTCTGCCTCTGTCCCTCCATGAGATGCGTTTCCAAGGCTTACTCCGTATCACTCTGCAGTAGCTATGGGGCTGGGGTGCAGAGGCAAATAAGTGACTGAGTCCCAGGGAGCTCACAGGCTGGTGGAAGAAAGAGACAAAGTTTCCACCCATCCCACTAAGCATCTTTTAGAGACAACCAGTCAGGCAATTGGGTAGGGGGGCTGGACAGCTGACGGCCAAGGATGCTTCTGAGAGAGAACTAAGCTTCTCTCCGGCTGTTTCTTTGGGTTCTTATTGGAACTATGCTTCTTTGTCCTCCTGGTTCTCAAAGGCAGCGTGGATATTGTTTGCAGCTCATGTTCTCTGTGCAGTTTTAACCAAGAATGCCTTCAAACGTATTGCATAGCTGAAAGACAGAATTAAGCAAGAATGGCAGGACTCTGGCAGCAAGCAGCCCTCTGCTCATGCTCTTCATTGCGCAGCATATAGGATTACCTTATTGTTCCACACATTAGCTTTCCATGCCCAGGCACACATATTTACACAGCATAACAAATGTGGCACAGTATAAAGCACCTGGATGTCACCAAGCCCAGAAATCCAGTGGGGTGCCAAGTCCTGGGGACATCCTTCCAACTTCCCTTCCCTGCTGAGAGGCAGATTGCCTGGTGCTTGGGGAGGGCCAGTCAGCCTGGGTTTAATAGCAAACATCCACAGGCTTTTTCAGATCCTGTGTGTAACACAACTTTGATTTCAGAATGCCATCTGCCTGCAAGGGAGCAAGACCTCGCCCCACAGGGTGGCTGGCCGTGCCAAAACCCAGACAGACTGCCTTGAAGGCTTACTGCAAACAACAGCACTCGGGTCCCAGCTGCCCTGGCTGGCTCTGGAGAACATTACCAACCTTGCAGCTCAGGG